TCAGTAGCAATGAGGCAGTCTGGCGAATCTTGGATTTTCCAATTCACGAACGATATCCAACCGTTGTTCATTTGGCTGTTCATTTGGAAAATGGTCAACGCATTTATTTCACCGAAGATAATGTTCATGAGAAAGTTAATGAACCACCAAGAACAACACTAACAGCATTTTTCTTACTCTGCCAGAAAGACGACTTTGCCAAAACGCTGTTGTACTGTGATGTTCCAAAATACTACACATGGAACGCGTCTGAAAAAGTGTTTAAGCGGCGTGTTCAAGGAACTGCTGTGCTTGGTCATCCAGACATTAGAGAAGGAGATGCGTTGGGTCGTGTTTACACTGTGCATCCTAATAATTTCGAATGCTTTTTCCTACGACTCTTACTTCATGTGGTCAGAGGCCCTACTTCATTTGAAGCTCTTCGAACTGTAAACGGTCAGATCTGTGCAACATTTCGTGAAGCATGTCAATTACATGGATTACTGGAAGATGATCAGCAATGGGATGCCACCATGTCCGAAGCAGCTGCAGCTCAATCGCCAGCAAGATTAAGATATCTATTGGCTCTTATTCTAGCTGTTTGTGGACCATCCAATCCAAAACAATTATGGGAGTCGCACAAAGAAAGCTTGACTGAAGACATTCTGAGAAATGCTCGCTGGCAAAATCCTGAAATGAATTTGGATTATACACCAGATATGTTTAATCAAGCACTGATTATTATTGAAAATAAAGTTTTAGAGATGGGTGGCAAAGAACTTGAGAAATTAGAGCTCCCAACTCCTCAACGAAATTCGGGTGATCGATTAAACAGTGCAATGCTCAGAGAAACAAGTTATGATGTGAAAGAGTTGGATGCTTATATAACAGCAAATGAGCCACTGTTGGTGCCGGATCAGAGAGCTGCATACGATGCGATTTTGAATCAGATCGAGAAGAAAGCTGGTGGAATAATCTTCCTTGATGCACCTGGTGGAGCAGGGAAGACATTTGTCATTAATTTGTTATTGGCTAAAATCCGGCATCAGTCAAAGATTGCGATCGCCTCTTCCGGTATCGCTGCTACGCTACTTCACGGTGGTCGTACTGCGCACTCGACATTAAAGTTACCTCTTAAGTTTTTGGAAAATCAAACTCATGTCTGTAGTATTACCAAAGGAACTGGCGAAGAAAAGGTTCTGCAAGAATGTGAACTTATTGTATGGGACGAGTGCACAATGGCTCATAGGTATGCATTAGAAGCTTTGAACCATACTTTACAGGATCTTCGTAACAATGGAAAGAATATGGGTGGAGTAGTTGTACTTATTGCTGGCGATTTTAG